ACTAAAAGGCAGGAAAATATAACTCATCCAGATCAACTAAGAAGGTGACATAGTTCTACTATCAGATGAAATAGAATATAAGGCAAAAAAAAAATCTACTAGGGATAAAAAAGGGCAGCTTCCTAAGGATAAAAGGTTAACTCACCAGGGAGATATAACAGTTTTACAATTATATGCACTTGATAATATGGGCTCAAAGGCATAAAGCAAAAAAAAAAAAAAAAAAAAAAAGGTGAAATAGATAAATTCATAATCATGGTTGGATATTTTAACACAACTGTATAATCTCATAGAGGCAAAAAATAAGAACAAAGACCTGAATGTGATCGATAAACTTGATAACAATGGTTTTATATAGAACAATGAATCCAATAACTGTAGGATGCACATTACTTTTAACCACACCTGGAACATTTATTAAAAAAAAAAAAACAACTAATCACAAATATAGACTTAACTAGGATTTCGAAAAAAATTAAAATTATATAGAACAAGTTCACTGACCACAATCAATTAACCAAAGATAACCAGAAGATACTCATAAGTTTGGAAATTAAGAAATGCATTTCTTAGATACCTATGGCTCAAAGGAGAAATCACAATGTATGTGAAAGAAGCTCATTCACATACACCACAGAAAATGTCTATGGATATTCCTGGCAGTCAGAGACTGTAAGCAATCCGTGTCCATCCATCATAAAATGAATAAACACACTCTGACCTATTCATACCATCAAACACTATCAGCAATGAAAGTCAGTCAGGCTGCCACGTGGATAGATGCCACAAGCAAGAATCTGAGCGAAAGAAGTCGAACAAAATGCAAACAGTATGCTTCCACACATATGAAGTTAAAGTAGTAAAACTAAATTACACTGCTTAGGGATGTAAACATGGGGAAGTAAACTATTTAGAAAAACAAAGGATGGTTACCATAAAAGTGGAGATAGTGGTTTCTTCTAGGGGAGGAGGTTATGATTTGGAAGGAAGGACTGCGTATGTACTGGCAACGTCCAGTTCTTGAGGTGGTGGTGATTACACTGTATTTCCCTTATAAACCTTTGTGGATTTTTTTTTCCTGTATGCATATTTGTTATTTTTCATACTAAAAAAAGTTCATAATAAAGAAAACGGAATATATTGATCATTGTTTGATTCTTAGAAAAACAGAGAACTATTGAAAAGACTTCCTTTTTTCTTCAATCACATAACCAGCTTTTTATTTTTTCCTTTTTGAGACAAGGCGGGGTGATGGATTTTTCCATGTTGCCTAGATTGGTCTCAAACTCCTAGGCCCAAGGGATCCTCGTAAGTAGCTCAGACTATAGGTGTGTGCCACTGCCCCGGCCCTGGCCAAAATCCTTCATTTAAAAATTAAAACCTTGCCTCCCAAACCTCTAAGATATATGTCAAGTAAATTTTCAGTCCTGTATATTTTCATTGTCTAATCTCTTAGGAGTGTAGGCAGAGACAATCTCCAGAGAACAAGAAGTGTGTTGTCAAGGGTCACCTGAGGGTCCCTCCTACATGTGAAAAAGTAAGATTGAGTAGGTACCCAAAGTCCTAGAGTGGACATCTTGTTGAAGGCTGCCATTCCTGAGAATCCTTGGTTAATTAAAATGCTGAAGAGAAGTGGAACTAATTTACTAAAAGGACTTGGGTTAAATTTAGGAAAAGAAAAAAAAAGTTATTGAGCCCTTAAGCTCTGATAAAAGATTTGAAAATAGGATATCTTGGATGGTCTCGGGTGACTCCAGGAGACCAGGGAAACCCAGCCTGGTGACAGCACAAGGCCCAGCATATGGTGCTGTTGCCAAGAGCCTAGCCCAGAGACACTGCCTGCATCCCAGTTGGCTACATTCAGCCACCAGCCTGCAAAAGAAAAATGAATAGTGATTTTTATGCAATTTGGTTGAACTGAGGGAGAGGAGCAGCTAGACTATTTCTTTGCAGGTCTCACAGAAGCAGTTACAATTTATAGAAACAAAACCCAGGTGATATACATTGGAGAATTTAGTTGGCCTAGGTTAGACAGGGTGGGGGTAGGAAGCTGGAGATCTTGGGTTCTTTGGCACCTGTCAGGATGTGGAGGTTGCAGCCCTCCCAGCCTCCATGGCTTGAGGATGCCGTTCCCAATTTCAGATGGGAGGGACGGTGGCTCCCAACTTCAGTCCGTTTCAGTGCTTTGGGGAAAATAGCTAAGAATGTGAGCATAAACTGGGGGGAAAAAAAAAAAAGAAAAAAGCTCTAACTTGGGAATCCAAGCATGGGATACTGCTGGCAGGGTTCTGGACCAAAAAGGGTGTCAAGCCGCAATGACCACACATCCACACATCTTTGGACCAGGCAGGACAGCTCCTCAATAGTGACACCATATAGCTGTGTCAGAAATAACAAAGTGGGTACGCCAGTCAGACACTGTTCTCTCCTCTGGACAGTGATGGTTAAGACTAACCCCTATAGACTGCATAAGCTTCCAGAGGGCTTGGAATTCTCACGACTGAGGGCATTAGAGGACTTGGGAAACTACTTGGGGGAAAAAAAAAAACAACAACAACTCTGTGACTGCATTAGAACCCAACTTGTGAAATGAGACACACTGGTTAAACATTTAAATTAATAGACAAAATCTTAATGTCTCTCTTTATCCTACCTTTATGTATACAATATCCAACATTTCAGATGAGTGGGAAACTAATCATTAAGCTAACAGAGGGTAATGAGGAAAATGAACAGGCATCTCAAACAAAGCCCATGAAGGTGACTCAAGAGAAGGTTCATTCATTAAGGCAAATTGAAAGAACAAAATGCTTGTTACACCATCTATTGTTCCTGTGTGACTGAGGCCCATAAAAAAGAACTAGTTTCTTTGACATTTCCTTTGAAAAGTGTGTGATGTCTTCTTGGTTGCGGGGGTCACTATCCCTCCTGCCTCAGAGAGCTCTTGCTGGCTTCCATGTACATTTTTATCAGAGACCTGCTGATCTGCCTCTTGATGTGGCAATGTCCTCAGTTTACCCAACTCTCCCTCCATCAATTATGAGGTCCCCAAGGCCAGGGTCTCTATTTTTATCTGTTCTTATTCCCACATCTCTTGGCCCTGCCACCAGTGCATGTTTGTTGAAGAAAAGAATGAAAAAAAGGAAGAAAAGGAGGAGGGAAAAAAGGGAGAAAGGAGGGTATGTCTGTATTGCAACTGAAAAGCAACAAAAATCCAAGACAAATCCTGGGTGAAGTGGTTGAGGACTTGACCAAGCATTGCTTAATAGCTACTTGTGCTATCATAAAAATACAATTCCCCTGATAACCATGGAAACCAGAATGAAGGCATTATGGTAAGGGTTGCTCTTTTCAGAAATTTAACAACAAGAAGAGGCCTAAAACCAGAAAGACAAAGAAGTCCAAGTGTTCCAGACCAGAAGGAAATCCTTTCCTAAAAGCTCTGACAAAGCAGCGTTTTCTCCAGTCTCTAAAATCTCACCAGGCTTCCACAAGGGATGTGGAACAGCAAGGGATCATGAAACAATTCAGGCCTCTTATGTACTGCTGTCCCTTGGGGCCAGCTGCTATGAGGCAAGCTCGCTGGGAGCTGGAACTTATTGTTATTATAAAACGTATTGCTTATAATGTTTATGTTATTATAAAACATATATATCCTCAAACTAACATAGCTAGTTATGGAAAAAGCCCCAAGGGGACAGAGACCATGTTTGTTTCATTCACAACTCTATCTCCGGTTCCTGGTGGGTGTACAAACACACAGTAGGGACTCTGTAACTATTTGTAGAATAAAGCAAGAATTATGTTAGAACATAGGGAAAGCACAGTGCCTGGTAAGATGTACAGCCTCTCCACCACCCAGTGCCAACACTCTGTTGAGTCCTGAGCAAAATCAAAGTCCTGTCCTCATTCCAGGTCCAGTTTCTCTGTTTGCGAAAGGAGACAGCTGGATTACATGGTTCTCCAGGCAGCTTCCAGTTCTGACAGTCAATCACTGTACTGTGCTTTTTTTGGTGGCAGCACATGCCTGGCACTTTTCTCTCCCCCACCCTCCCAAAGGGAATCTGATACCCATCTGCTCAAGTAAATTAATGTTCCTATCCTGCCTGACTCATTTGGTAGGAACAACAGGTTCACATGCCATTGTAAAACAGAAGGCAAAGGGGGCCCAGAATGACAAAAGGGGAAAGGATTCTACAGACCAAAATGGCACTGTATTAGGACCACATATAAGTGTGATTATTCTACTAAACCTTACTACTTCAACAATGCTAATATTAACAGCACTATGTAATGAGCTTTCATGTGCCCAACGCCACGCTAAGTCCTTTATATTTAATCCTCACAGCAACGTATGAGAAAGGACTATTATTTTCTGCTTTTAACAGATGAGGTTTCACTCTAGCCCAAGGTCACACGGCTACTAAGTAGAAGAATTAGGACTTGAACCCTGGGCTGAACGCCTCCGGAGTTCTGGCTCTTCAATTGGCTTTCCCATCTCTTCTTCACTGAAGTCCCATGAGGAAGGCAAGGCAAGGGTTACCCCTCTTCCTTAAAAGAGAGAGACTTTCCACTAGTACAAAACGCAGAAGACCCAGTGGGTACCCCGCCCCAGACTTGCTCGTGTTCCTAGGTGCAGGTTCTTTCCATCCCGAGTCGCACGTTTCCTCCTGGACTTAACACACTCGCAAAGCCCCAGGGCTGGAGGCAACCGCGGAGTTACTGGCTCCCAGCAGGGTGGTTTTAGAAGAGAACAAGACAGCTCCTCCAGCAGAGGCTCCAGGTGGCTTTAGAGCACCCCCTCACCAGGAGCCAGGCCCCTCATTCCAAAGCCCCACCACTCGCTCAGCCTCTGCCAGGACGGAACGGCGCCTGCTTCGCCGGTCGCCTGGTGAAGCGCCCGCTGTTCCTGGGAGGCAGCCTCGAGGCACCCCTGCCCTCCCCCGGCAGTTCCAGATCTGGGAGTGGGTCACCCTGGGCCCGCGTCGGCCGCCGCTTACCTCGCAAGGAGTCCTCGGGCCGCGGTCGCGGTGCTCTGGAAGCAGCCCCCGCCGCCGAGCCGCAGCGCAGCCGGAGGACTGCAGCGCGCGCCAGGGGCGGGCGGACTGGCGCCCTCGAGCCCCGCCTGGGGCCGACAGCTGCCGGCGGCTCGTGCGGGCCGCCGCGTCACGTGACGCGCGGGACTGGGGCTGCCGGGAGCGGCGGCTGGCCGCGGGTTGGGCTCCGGACCACTGCTGCGGGGAGGAATTTCTGCCAGCAGGGGGCCTGGAGAGATGTGAAGGGGCGGACTGGGCTTCGGGTGCTGCAAAGCGAGCTTGGGGAAGGACGCTGCAGACTTACATTGCGTGGCCCCAGAAGGGGTAGAAAATAGAATCGGTGGGCGGAAACTGCAAGGAGGCGTGCTTGGGGGGTCAATACAAAGAAGCTTCTTCCAAGCACCCGAGTTATCTAACAGCATAATGGGCTATTTCAGGAAGTGGTGTTTTCTTTGTGGACGTACACTTAGCGGCTGAACGACCCTGACCACTAGCTGAGGGTCAAATGATCACTGGGTATATATATTAAATTAGTTATAGGGAAAGGGCTTAGCATAAAGCATTCCACATAGTAAATGCTGTATAACAGTGTTAGTCGCTTCTGCTGCTGATTGTTATTATGGGCACAGAAGTGAACAAAGCTGTTATGGCTCCTATTCTGAAATTCTCTGGGGTAGAAGAGGCAGCAATCAAGTACCATTTAAATAACATGTTTAGCTGGGGGCGGTGGTGCACACCTGTAATCCCAGCGGCTCAGAAGGCTGAGGCAGGAGGGTCGCAAGTTCAAAGTCAACCTCAGAAACTTGGTGAGGCCCTAAGCAACTTAGGGAGACCCTGTCTCTAAATAAAATCTAAAACGGGGCTGGGGATGTGGCTCACTGGTTAAGTTTCCCTGGGTTCAATCTGTGGTACCCACCCCGTCCCAATCAACACATGTTTAAAATTATGGCAAATGAATAGAAGGAACTCTAATTTAAAACTGATGATTGAAACAAACTGAAACTAGGAGCCTCCCCCCATCTGAAATTGGGAGTGACTTCCACAAGTTAAGAATGGAGGCTGGGAGAGCTGCAAACCCCCACCATGCAGGTGCTAACACAGGAGGACAACTAAATCCTCAATGTTTATCACCTTTTTTGAGGGGGATATTGAACTCAGGGGCACCCAACCACTGAGCCACATCCCCAGCCCTGTTTTGTATTTTATTTAAAGGCAGGGTCTTACTGAATTGCTTGGCGCCTCAGCCTCCGCAACCACTGGTATTACAGGCGAGCGCCACCGCGCCGGGCTCCTATCACCTGTTTTTTTTCGTTTGTTTGTTTTAAAGAGAGAGTGAGAGAGGGATCTTTGTTTTGTATGTGGTGCTGAGGATCAAACCCGGGCCGGGCCGCACGCATGCCAGGCCAGCGCGCTACCACTTGAGCCACATTCCCAGCCCCTATCACCTGTTTTTTGTTTCTATAAAATTATAACTGTGGGGCTGGAGGTGGGGAGAAGCAATCCAGTTGCTCCTGCCCCCCAGTTTGATCAAACTGCATAAAGTTCACTATTCATTTTTCCATCTTTGTCTGTCGCTTAAGTAGGCAGGCGGCTGAATCCAGTCAGGGTCTCTAAGACAGGCTGTTGGTAACAGAATCAAGGGTGGTTGTGGAAGACCTCGCAGATGAAGGTGAAGTTAGCCAAATTTAAAGACAGGCAACGAAGGCCTGGGTGAAAGCTCTTCGGCCAGGGTAGATGGAGAAAAGATTGCTCCTTTGGGAAATGGAAATGTCCAGTTTGTCTTAAGTTTTTTGAGTTATGGGGACAAGAGTGTGAGTGAGGTCAGAGAGGCAGATACTGACCAGATCATGCAGTACTTAGTAGGCTCTGATAAAAACTTTAAAATTCTATGTAAAAGGAATCCACTGAAAGGGTGGAGGATGTGGGTGATCTGATACTTTAAAAAATAGTATGGCAGCATTATGTGGAGAAAAAACAATAATTTTAGAGTGGAAAGGAAATTGGTTACTAAGACTTGGACTGGAGTAATGGTAATGGGGGTGCAGAGAAATGGGTTGGGGGATACATTATTTGAGGTAGTCAAACTTGGCTTGATGTGGAAAACTACAGGGATTCCCAGTCTTCTAGTTAAATCTAGTAACTGCACCCACAGAGGTGCTATTTATTGAAATAGGAACTATTGTAAGGGGTGTATTTGGAGGTGGGGGAAGATCAAGAACTCAAATTTGGACTGTTAAATTTAAGATGCCTATGTATCATCAAGTGGTGATTAAAGAAGCAACTGGACTCAGACCTCTAGATTTTAGAAAATATCAGTTACAGAAACCTTACCAAGAATATTAAGAAACTGTTATACCAGATTAAGGTTTAAAACAGCTGACCCTGTGGGCCCACTGACCTGTCAGTCCCTGATTCTATATTATGTATTCTTTTAAATTGTATTCCAGCTACTACTACTATATGATGAATTTGGTAGGACTTTGAAAGAGGCCTAAGTTACCTAAAATGTAGCTGGGTTTTGTTTTGTTTAGTGATGCTGGCAGTCGTACCCAGGGTCTTCCTTATGTGTGCTAGGCAAGTGCTTTAACACTGAGCTACACTTCAGCCCCTCGCTGCTCTTTTATAAATGGAAAAACAAAACACTATACCTGAAGACAATGATTTTTAAAAGTAGAGATGAAGCTGTACATAAAGCAGCCAGATAAAGAGAGACTACACTTAGGTCAGGTCAGATCAGAAACTCATACTACAATAAACTTGATGATTTATCTTATTATTGATGACTGGCAAAACATCACATTTAATCCTTTGAAGTGTCCCATTGTATGAAATTGATAATCTACACAAGATTGTCAATAAGGAATTAAAATCATGAGTTGCTGGTGTGCCAGTCAACATTGCTTTGACATCTTTATAAAATATCTAAGCTCCCAACAATCTCCCTTCTACTTTCATGATGCACACCCCACTGTTGTGTATAATTAATATACATCAGTAAAATAAACTATAAAATAACTAAGAATTTCAAAGGAGCATAATAGCAGCTTTCTACTAGGGCATGCTGTCTGGCTTCTCCATTAGTGTTGCAAGTATTAAATGCCACATAGGAATTTTTGTTGTTGTTGTTGGACTGGAGATGGAAGCCATGACAGTCTACCATGGAACTACATTCCTAGTCCTTTTTGAGACAGGGTTTCGGTAAATTGCTTAGAGCCTTGCTAAATTGCTAAGGCTGGCCTTGAACTTGTGATCCTTCCTCAGTCTCCTAAGTAACTGGGATTACAGGCATACACCACTATGCCCAGTGCTGTATGAGAGATTTGATTTTTTAAATATAAGTATTTAAATGTAAGAACATAATTTGCAAACTACAGTTGACTCCTCCCTTCTTTCTGCCCTCATCTGTCCTGTGCATGCCTCCATCTTGCTGTTGATTTTTCTCCTTCATTAAACTAGAGTAGATCTGTTTTTCTTTGTATTCTGGCAGGTAATTGGTGTACACTGTCAAATGAAAAAGGGAACATACATATCTCCTCAGCCATGTGAACTTTTAGAAAGATTAGACTCAGGCAGTGATTTATCCAGCGTCAACATAGTGGGTATCTGTCATCCTTTTTGGCTGCCCTTCAGGGATCTACACTTCCTTCCTACAGTTGGGAGTTCCCCACTTATGAGCAGGGCATACCTTTCACTATGGAAGTGGAAATTCCAGATATTCTGTTTTCCCTTTGCTTTTCCATGTGATTCCAATACTACAAGTTAAATACTCCCCAGATTGAACTGAGATCCAGAGACACAACAAAGTCTCTGAAATAATTATCTGGTGATCATGACAAGTGCAGCAAGTTCTTTAGAGTGACACTTGCTGGTTCAGGGATCTGTGCCTGTACCCTTGGCAAAGTAAGTGGTGGCACCTAATGCTCAGTAGGGATGGTGTGCTGACCACACCAGGTCTGTGATCAAATGGCAAAGGGTGATGTTCTAGTGGCCTGATTCTCCAGGCTTCCTTGTGATGCTTAACTCTATTATCCTTTTAATTTTTTTCCCTTAAAGCTGCCAAAATTGGATTTTAATGCTTGCAACTGAAAAATCTGACTCATACAGTCATATAATAAAAGCTGATAACCTAGGAATCTGAACTCCTAATTGTAGTGTTCTTTCCCTACGATAGACCTCCACTTTCCAACAACCTACAATTTTTACATTACATATTGATGTCCCTAAATCACTGTTTACTAAATTCACACTTTCATATGTAAGCTGATGAATGAACATTTCCATTGCCTGCATGGTGAGGTAGCTTACCAGTGGAACATTCAGTTTCAAGTGCAACAGAATCTTTGTGTATCTGCTTATGTAATTACTCCTCTCTCCCCCATTTTTGGCCTGTATAGACAAGTGGAAAATGGAAATATTACTAATGTGACTGAAAAAGAGATGAAAACTATTATACATATTTAAAGTCAATCTTTAGCCTTACTAGAATGATCACTGGACTAAAATCAGCTGTTTTTTAAAAATATTTTATTAGTTGTTGATGGACCTTTATTTATTTATATGTGATGCTGAGAATCGAACCAAGTGCCTCACACATGCTAGGTAAGCGCTCTACCACTGAGCCACAATCCCAGCCCCTAAAATCAGCTGTTTTTATTGTTGTTTTTGTTTTGTGATCCTGGAGTACTCTAGGCAAGGGCTTTACCACTGAGGAGCTACCCTCCCAGCCCCAGCTGTTTCATTTCTGAAGGAAACAAATTGTTAAGAATATGTTTTCCAACTCTGAAAATATTTCATCAGATACTGTTTTTAAAAGACAAAAATGCATGATTTTATAATGTTTTGATGTCTCAGTAACAATTTTATTCAACTTTTCTTAAGTGTGATTTCTGTTTTTGTGAATTTGTACTAAAGTAGGCAACTAGCACCACATATGCATATCTATAATACTGAATGTTTACAAGTAGCATGTGATTAACAACTGTTCATTGTCCCCTGGGTGATGTCCAAAATGCAGAGGAGGAAAGACTGTTTTATTTCAAATTTATTATTTTGTAGCTTTCACAAAAAAAAGTTACTGAGAGTTGTTTCTTGTACAGTGGAATTTGGAACTGCAGAATGTACACTAGCCAGCAGATGTCAGAGTGGGAACTGTTTCTTGAAATCAAGTATGAAAATATAATAAAATTTCTGGAAGGACTGAGGGCTTTTTGCTTTTTGTGCTTAATCCATTTCAGTCATATTGGTCTTCTTTCTTCCTCAAACACATCTGCTGTAACACTTTCAAAGGCTCCCACTCTTTTTTTAGGGTGCTGGGCACTGAACCCAGGGCTTTGCACATGTTAGGCAAGTACTCTACTACTAAGCTATACCTTCAGTTCTTCCCACTCTTTACCTGCCAATTGCTTTTTGTCCAAATCTTAATTGATGTGGCTCTTCTTAAGACAGCCCTCCCTGCTTCTTCCCCAACCAAACAGGCCCAGGCTCCCCTATCCCATGTTCACATGGCTATCTGAACTTGACTCTCGTAGCAGTTTTTATGATGAAAGATTAGCAATGGAATGATGTAATGTCTGACTGATTCCCCTGCTAGATTGCAAGTCTCCTAAGGGCAGGGACCATGACTGAATTCTCTGCTATATGCCTCCTACTACACTGCCTGCCCCACTGCCATCACTGAACAGTATGATTGTGAACACCTCCATTAGACAGACTGCAAATGTGTTTCTAAGGCCTTGGCAATAGATTGTATCCAGAAAGCTAGTACTTTACCCCTTTCAATTTAGTTGTTATTATCCCCTGGAAAAAACAAATGCCGAATGTTTTCTCTGATATAAGGAGGCTGACTCATAGTGGGGTGGGGGTGGGGGAGCATGGGAGGATTAGATGAATTCTAGGTAGGGAAGAGGGATGGGAGGGAAAGGGAGGGGGCAGGGGATTAGCAAGGGCAGTGGAATGTGATGGACATCATTATCCAAAGTACATGTATTAAGAATCAAACTGGGTGTCAACATACTTTTTATATAAAGAGATATGAAAAATTGTGGTATATTTGTGTAATAAGAATTGTAATGCAAAAAAAGTACATGTATAAAGGCATGAATTGGCGTGAACATACTCTATATACAAAGATATATGTGTACTCTATATGTGTAATAAGAATTGTAATGCATTCCGCTGTCGTGTACTTAAAAAAATAAAATCAATAAAACGAAAAAAAATTATGTTTTATTCAGTTTATTCTTGGGGCAGAAAAATTTGAGACAGTACTTGAACTCAAATGTTTTTCAGGAACAGGGAAGACAACAAACTTTTGTCCTATAGTGACAACACCTGTTAGAGGATCTCCAATATTAATTTACAGTGAAGTATCCCTTACACAACACGGTCCATCTTGGTCATAGTGGTTGTTAGTAAATTCAAGGAATAACTTTTCAAACATTTATTCTATCCTGCCTTCTGGAATACTTACTCCTTGACAGGACAACCTTTTTCATCTTTAACAACAGCTCTCTGACTTCCATCTCCATCTTCCCCAGGCTAAACACTCATAATCTTGTCAATCAGTTCCTTCAGTATTGAACTAACCCTCCTCTGGTAAGATGGCTACCCTTGAAGCATCTGTCAGACCTGGAGACCTTAATACCACAATTTTACTATTGAAACCTAAAACTGCTTTCATTTTTAGTTGTGCCTCTAATTCCCAAATTTCAGAAATAAAGAGACCTTTCAGTAAACTAATTTACCAGGTAACCAGAGCAGTTCTTGAACTAATGAGATCCCCTCAATGGTTCTGAAAAACAGATTTATGGTTCTAAGTCAAAAAGTCTTTGGAAAAAGCTTCCTAGGTGATTTGGTTTGCAACTTGTTTTGGAAAGCACCTCTGTATATGATGCCTGAAAGTATGTGACATATGTAATTCGGTACTCTTTCCTCCATTATATCTGAGCCTCTTCTGTGGCAGGGAGTCCATTACCACAAGTTACCAGTGTATGAAAATCCTTCCAACCCTTTATAGGAAGTGTTCTTTGATTCTCAAGTACATGACATCCATCACCTATTTATTCTTAAAAATAATGACTAGAAACTCAGTTATCCTTCTAACATAAAAGATAGATTTACCTTAGAGTCCTTTTTCTATCAACAAATAAGTATTAAAAATATGATTTTACCATGTTATTTACATATGGAATTGAGAAGAAGCAAATAAAAGGAATATTTTGAGTCTAAATTATTTAGTGAAAAGATTCTAACCCTTCCCCTGCTGTACTCTGTAAACTTAGGAATGGTAAAATAATTAAGGGGGGATCTAAACCTGATATACTTAAGAAAGAAAACATGTTGAGAGGGAAGAAAAGAAAAAACATTAAATACTTTGTTAAAGCAGGTACCCCCTTTAATTAACAGAGACACTTAGTGCCTTCTGTTTCTTTCTCTCAAAGGAAAAAAGGACCCAGAATGAAGGGGTCCTATTTTTCACTGTAAGATCATCAAAGGCAAATGGCAGCTGTGGTGAAGCAACAGCAACCAAGAGCTGGCTTCACCTTCAGGTAAGAGTGCTGCACCATGGGCACCCTTTAACTCGTGAAAATAAATGAAAAGCAATTGCTCTTTCATGGTGGTAATTTGTAAAGCAGTTGAGTGCTTGCAAACAAAGTGAGGGTTAGGTTAAAGAGGAAAAAGTAATTGTTGCAGTAAATATTTTTCTCTTCCAACTTCTTGAGCAGCTTTGTGTCACTGACCTAATAGCACTTTATAAGAATAATTCTTTTCAACTTAATACCTCAAATAATCAGAGGTAATGCAACTTGACTTCTGTGAAGAAAGGCTCCCCTAAACTCCCACTGCTGTATCAGATCTTTCAGAAGTCTCCAGTTTCAGCATTATCCCGTGAAATTAATGTGTTGATATCACAAAAACGTTTGCACTTTCCTCCTAAATGAAGAGCATAAATTGTGGTGGAAGGTCCCTTCCAGGCTACCCCATGAACACTTAGTTGTAAAACCAAAAAATTCTAACCATCTCTTGTGGTAATAGCCTGAAAGGTCACTGCTGGTAATTTCTCTCTCTCTGAAAGCAAAACACAATGAACGGGTTCTATTTTTTGCTGTAAGAACTTCTCTCTCCATTCAAAATGAAGGAAAGATATTTAGGGCATTAGAGGTCTCAGGGTTATTGCCTGCCTACAACTGTCCTCAGTGGGACTGACCCCTAGATTCCCTTCCTGCCTTCTCCTCCTCATGCAGCTTGTGTATCATCTCAGACATCTGTCAGTTCAAGTCATCTACATGGCAAAGGCACCATCCTGGATGAATCTAATTCTCCACCTTCTCCAGGTTTGCTTCTTGGCAGAGCAGTGCCAGAGAAAAATGCCACATCCAGTACAACTGCAAATTAATGATCACCAATCTGGGGCTTACGATCACCTGACAGACAATCTTACCTTTTTCTAATTACCTTATTCTCACATTTCCCACAAATAATTATAACTACTTTATTCTAATTCTTTGATTCAACAAATATGGAGTGCCTACTGGTTTCCAGGAATTCATCTAAGTTCATAAAGAATAAAACACACAGAGATTCCGGCCCTCATCAAGCATGTATTTAATAGGGAAGACAATTAACAAAATAATTAAGAAAAAATACATTAAATGATAAGAAAAATAAGGCAGGGAAGGGGGAGTATGAAATTCTGAACAGGCTGTAATTTTTAAAAATTATTAGAGTGTAGGACTGGGGTTGTAGCTCAGTGGTACAGTGCTTGCCTCACATGCGTGAGGCCCTGGGTTCAATCCTCAGCATCACATAAAAATAAATAAATATTGTGTTCATCTACAACTAAAAAAATTTAAAAAGAATAGATTATTAGAGTGTAACATAAATACAAAAGAATGCCATAAGCACATAGCTTGCTGGATCTTCATAAGCTGAAATATTCTATGGTCTATAAAGGAATTGGGTAAAGCCTCACTCAGAAAATATCATTTGCTGGGCATGGTGGCACATGCCTGTAATGCCCGTGACTCGGGAGCTGAGGCAGGAGAATCTCAAGTTCAAACACTGCAATTTAGCAAGATGCAGTCTCAAAATAAAAAATAAAAAGGGTTAGAGATGTGGCTCAGTGGTTAAGAACCCCTGGATACAATCACTGATACCAGAAAAAGAAAGTTATTTAGACAAAGGCCTGAAGAAGAGAAAGCAAGGCACTTGAAAATCAAGAGAAGAGCATTCCACGCAGAGGAAACCTCCCATGCAAGGTCCTGAGGCATCATCATGTCTGAGCTGTTTGAGGAAGCAAGAAGGCCAAGGTGGCTAGAGCACACTGAGGTAGAGTCTATAGAAGATGTGACTAAATTGTTCAGAATCTGTAAGCAACCATAAAGGCTGTTTGTTTGGGCTGGGGCGGTGGTTCAGTGGTAGAGCACTCGCCTAGCATGTGCAAGGCCCTGGGTTCAATCCCCAGTACCACATAAAAATAAATAAATTAAATAAAGGTATTGTGTCCAACTACAACTAAAAACTAAAATATTTTTAAAAAAAGACTCTGGTTTTTAGTCTGAGTGCAACAGGAAGACACTGGAGGGTTTTGAGTAACATCTTCTGACTAGGACCATTCTGATTGCTGTGTTATGAAAATATCGTACAGGAATAAGGGTGGAAGGCAGGATACTAGTTAAGAGGCTGTAGAAATAATTCAGAAGAGACAACGGACACAGTGATACACACCAGTAATCACCAGGAGGCTGAGGCAGGAGGATCACAAGTTGGAGGCCAGCCTCTGCCACTTAGTGAGACCCTATCTCAAAATGTAAAACAAAATGAGCCAGGGATGTAACTCAGTGGTAGAGCTGCCCCTAAGTTCAATCCCCAAAAAGAGAGAGGGAAAAAAAAAATAAGAAGTGAAATGACTGGACTGGATCATAGTAGTAGAAATGAAGTTGGTGAAGTCAGATTTTGATTGTAATTCAAAAGTAGGACAAAAGGAATTCCTGAGGGACTGGTGTGGGGTAAAAAAGAGGACTCAAAGATGATTATCAGGTCTGTGGTCTAATTGACTGGAAAGATAAAAATTATTTCCTGAGACTTAGGCACAGGTTGCATGAATGGAGCAAAGACAAGTACTTTGCTGTTTAGATAAGTCTGCAATTAAAGGGGATAGGCTAGACTAGATTTAAAATTTGGGAGCTTACAGCCCAAAAATGGCATTCAGTACCAAGAGGCTGGATGAGAACAAGTTGATGTGGAATCTGTAGACAAAGAGGTCTGAGGACAGACACATGGGGCACTGCAATTCTCAAAGAAGTTGGAGAAATGAAAAGAAACCAGCAAAAAGAATCTGAGGAAGAGTGTTAGAGAAGAATTAGGAAAAGTGTTGTGATGAAAGGCCTGAGAGGTGCTTTCAACAATTGAGCAGTGTGTTTGTTAACTGCTTCTCCTGAAGGTGGGGGTCAGCGTCAACCTGGACAAGAGCAATTTCAGACTGATGGGGATCCAAGTCTGACTGGAATGGGTTCAAGAGATAAAGAGAAAGTACATTAAGCATATTAGCAATTTTACTGAGGCATTTAACTGTGAGAGCAGAGAAATGGAATAGCACATGAAGACAGGCTAGTGGTGGATATTGTGGGAACCACCAACACCCAGCACCAGCATTCACTCCCCCTGTGGCTGGAGTGTTGGCTACTGAGAGCTCACAGCAAAGCTGCCTCCCCTTCATACCAAGCAGCACACACCCACGATCAAGTCCTTTAGGGGTTCAAAGGCCTTGCCCCCTTGCCTGATGCAGGATTTCTCTGATATGCTAGGGCCACCCTAGCATATAAGACATCCATGGGATGTCTAAAGCTACCACTGCAACTAGAGTGACCAACATTCCCATTTGCTCAGGACTGAGGGATTTCCCAAGATTTAGGACTATGAATGGTAAAGCTGTGACAGTCCTGGATGGTAGGGCACCTACTCAGAGGTGTATCACTTGTTTTACTCACTCCCTAAAAGGGTCTCTCCAAAGACGATTTGCACCATAATCTGAACATTCTCACCAAGGAACAGACAGACTTTAACTAGCTGGGTTTTGCCAGGAAGGACAATGAAACCAGGGGAGGAAACAGAACTGAAGGTGTATTCAAGAATGATCACAATGATGAAATGTGAGCAGAGTCCTGGTAGGAGGGGAAAAGAGAACAGATGGTAGGGTGAAGAGATTATAGGGCTCAGTGGAGTCAACAAATTATTTGTGTTGACTAGAAGAATGCTTTGAATTAAATCTAGGTAATGACTACAGAGTTGAGTGACTAAGGAAATGACCTCCCAAAGAAAGCAAATTTTTGCACAAGGGAACTCTCAACTATTCCACACCAAATCTAAACCCTCATTGTATGTGGCAAACCTAATGCCCCCACGCCAAGATGCGCCCATGTCCTAATCACCAAACCTGTGAATTACCTTTTTTTTTTTTTTTTTTTTTTTTAAGAGAGAGGAGAGGGAGAGAGAGAGAGAGAGAGAATTTATTTATTTAGTTTTAGTTTTAGTTTTTCAGCGGACACAAATCTTTGTTTGTACGTGGTGCTGAGGATCGAACCCGGGCCGCACGCATGCCAGGCGAGCGCGCTACCGCTTGAGCCACATCCCCAGCCCCTGTGAATTACCTCTTACAGCAAAAGGAACTTTGTGGATGTGATTAAGGATTTTGAGGTTCAGAGATTATTCTAGATTATTTGGGTCTTATGATATTATCACAAGGGTCCTTACAAAAGGAAGAAAATGTGACCGCACAAGCAGAGGTGGGAGTGAACAGCCTCCAGAGTGGAAGTGGCAAGGCAGAGTCTCTCCTAAAACCTCCACAAAGAATGTAGCTCTCCTGAAACATGGATTTTAACCCTATGAAATCCATTTTAGACATCTGACCTCTAGGACTGCAGAAAATCCACCTGTGTTATTGTAAGCCACCAGGTCTGCAGGAATTCAACTAATACATTGGTGTACTCTCTTGTCTAAACTTGTTCTACTCATTCCCTAAAGGGGAGCAGCAATAGGAAACTAAAACACTGACGAACTCCTTCCTCCTTTTCCTGTTTTGTAGACCCATTCTCTTCATACCTACATAAATTCCTTACCTGTTCTATTACATTTTGCAACCTTTTATCTGTGGCCTATGTGCTCAATCTTGAAATATTTCCAACCCTGAATTATCTCTCTCTCTCTCTCTCTCTCTCTCTCTCACACACACACACACACACTTTCTCTCAGCCATACCATGGTTTTAATTAGCATCTAGCTAAAAGAAGCTCAATATTTATTTATTTCAAATCAAAGTGTTGGAAATATTTGGATATCCGAATGTCCACTCAATTATCTCCATCTCATGAAAACTTGCAACTCAGGTCCAAAATTGAACACATTATCTCCCCCCGAAATCCTATTCTTAGTTCAGTAATTGGTACCATCAACTCAGCTATTTAAGCCAGGAATTAGAGAGTCTTTCTTGATACTTTTCCTTCTTCACTTCACTGATTCAATATTGGTCCACTCATTTACCCCCTTAATTTCCCCCTTCAAATCCAGTCTTCATACACTGTGTCTAATGCTGTTTTAAGTGGGCAACTCTAAACTCCCCACCTTGAAAAACCCGGCCTGGTCCTACCTTCTCTACCTTTTCCCCCAGATGACCAACTGACCCTTCAGGTCCCTAAAATCACTCCTTCAGAGAAGCTCTCTCCAGCAAGGTTAGATCTTTCAGATGTCAACTCACACAGCATCCTTTGGTAGATGAGAGACCTCAAAGGGCAGTCCCGTGACTGTCCATCAACTTTTAGCAAGGTGCCTTGTACATAGTAGGAATTGATAACTTTGATGAATAAATGAGTAACCTATAGGGCTCTGTAAAGCCCAGACTATAATAAATCATTTTCCCTATATGATCTGCAATAGAGTAAATATCTCACCTTTCAAGTAATAAAACACTTCTGTGATTTGGTCACCATTTTATACTTTGCTAACTTCTCTGTCTTTTAACAAGGTAGTCCATAGGCCAAATCCAGCCAGCCATCTATTTCGGTAAATATATTGAGACACTGCCACACCCACTCATTTACATACTGTCTTTGGCTGTTTTCACAATTGCTTAAAACAAGAGTTTAGGCTGAAAAGCCTACCATTTGACCCTTAACAGAAAGTTTGCTCATCTCTGCCTTTATGGGTTCTTTGATGACTCAATTTATGAAGTGATCACATTAGAGTGACAGAGTAAAATGTCCAGCTGATTTCCTTTCTATACTATCTATAATACTGAATGGTGCCTGGGTCTTACAGGTAGAGACACGCTTTGCTAAAAAAAAAAAAAAAAAAAAGGAGTGGGAAGAGAAAAATGTTCAGATTCCTGTATTCTTCCTTTGTGCCAAAGGAAGGTTCAAATTTACAGACTCCCAAACAACTGAACATATTAACTGTAATGCTAACTTATTTCAAAGAACAATGAAAAAGGCAGTTTTTATTCATTTTTTAGGTGTCTATGAACCTTTATTTTATTTATTTATATGTGAATCGAACCCAGTGCCTCACCTATGCTAAACAAGCACTTTACCTAAAGGCAGTTTTTAAAAACTGTGCTACTGCCAGCAGTGGGGACATTAACTTAACTTAGTGGCCACATTTCTACCTATTAAAGTGGTATTCCTCTACCACAACCTGATTGTGGGGGATTAACATTCCTCTCTACCATCTCTTTTTCTTCCAATGTTCCCATTTCAAGAGCATTCAATTTGCTATGGTTCTTTACTTACTATTTTACACTACACAGATTAAACAAACAAACAAACAAAAACCCACTAAGCTATATATGTATATAGTCCAACTATTTCAAGTATTGAGATCTCTCAGAGGGTATGGCCTGAATTTTGAGAAACTAGTCAAAAAACGAAACCATTAGATTTTTTTCATACCACATAACACTGGAATCCGGAGTAACAATCACACCTTTCCCCCCTCTCCGCAAAAGCATCTAAGGATAGGATACCATAAGCAAACATTAAAGTCCCCTAAGCCTTGACCAGCTGCTATTTATTAGCCATACTGAAACTTTCAGAATCTCAACCTCTCCATCTGTTGAATGTCATCAATGATTGGTTAGGGATGATTTCAGACAATGAATAATAATTTTGAAGTCTGTATACAATTAGAGGATCAGCATGCTATCTCCTAGCAACTGGAAACATGAATGAACTTGTTTAAGCAGTGAATGTCAGCACAAATCGCTTCTAAACACATTACTCCAAACACTAACAATTAATAATATTTACCAAATGTCAACAATTGTGCCAACTGCCCTACTTGCATTTTCCCATTTAATTCTTACAATACTTTGAAGCAGACAGATGTTTCTATTACCTAATTTACAGTTAAATAAAATGAAATTTAGAGGTTCACTTGCTGAAAGCCAATCATATCATAAGTATCAGAGTCAGGACTCAAAATCAAGTCAGCCTGTTTTTCAAGCCAGTATTCAAGAGCGTGATACTATATACTGTACCTTCTCAATTAAGTCAGAAATAGATATAAATGATTACCATGAAACAGAACAACAGGGTTCAAAAATTACATGCTGTCTGGGTAAAGATGGGATTCAGCACATGTACATACTTCTCCTTCCTGAAATTCCATTAAATGACAATAAAGTTTTTTGTCTGTTTTAAGGTGTAACAGAAACGATAGAAGAAAAGACAATATCAACAAAAAGTTAAAAGCTGGAGAACAAATTACAAGTAGTAAATAACAGAGTAGACCCAAGGAAACTGAATTCTGAGCAAACAGTAGGAAAAGCTACTGAATTTGAATCACAGAATTTCTTAAAGGCTCAGGAACTGGTGGCTTCATGTGTCTCTGGAAGTAGAATGTGAACAGGTAGAGACCAAAACAAGAATTGATTAAAAGTCTAAGTAATCAGATACTCTCTGCAACTTTGTACACAGCTGAACAGCCTCCTTTTCCCAGCTCACTCTCCAAATTAGAAGTTTCTTTTCTACCTGGGCACAATTGAGGCTGAGCCAGGAGGATTCCAAGTTCAAGGCTAGCCTCAGTAACTTAGCAAGACCCTGTATCAAAATAAAAAATAACAAGAGCCATGTAGTTTAGTGTAGGTGTAGTTTACTGGTAAATTCAATCCCCAGTTGTGTCAGGGAAAAAAAAGTTTATCTTTTGGAAATGAGTAAAACAGTTTGGGTTGTAGAAAGCTGGGCACTTTTGGCTGATATACTGTATTTAAAATGCGCCCAGCCTCAATAAGCGAACACACAGAGAATAGTGAGACACACACAATATTCTGGGCCTCACCTCAGCCCTCTCCCACACTTGACTGCCAGAATACTGGCAAGTCATTCATTTTTCACTTAGGAGCTTGGGAGAGTCTTTGCTGAGGAATGACCAGTTCAATAGGAAATACCTAAAGAGAGGAACATAAAAGTATTTCCAATTAAATGACCTAATAGATTGCCCTTCAGCAGAGCCCAGCATCAACAAACTCCATCTATTGAGAGTCTCTAATCAATTTGTTAGTACCCTGTTTTTAAATATGAGCATACAACTTATGTCAAGCAAAAATCAACAAAAGCAATTTTAGAGAAAACTGGCTGACTATAGAGGAAAAAGAAAACATCAAATATAGCATCATCCTACAAATAGAGAAAGAGGGAAAATAAAAGGGGAAGAAATCATCAATAAAATTGACAAAATTTCTGAGAACTAAAGGACATAAGTTTCAAGTTTAAACTGGTTTAACAAGTGACCAGCACAGTAAATTAAAATAAAAACACACCAAAGTGTGTCAACATGGAACGTAAGATACTATGAACAAAAGATTCTTGTTTCTAAGGGAGGAAAAATTTAGGTCTCCCCAAAAGGTCAGGCATCAGAACGGTTTCAGATTTCCATGTAGCAACACTGAAACTTAGAGGCAATGGTTCAATGCCTTTTTCTGAAGGAAACAGCTTTCCAATCTAGAACTCTATATTCAGCAAATTATCAAATATCTGAATAAAATAAAGTCTTTTCAGACCAATAAGGTCTTAAAAACATTTACCTCAATGCTACCTTTCCCCAAATTGAGAAAGGGCTCTATCAAAATAAACGCATAAATGAAGAAAAGATAACAGAAAGCAAGAGATCCAACATCAGACAAGAGGAAAAGGAATTCTCACAATAAAGGCGAAAGGAGCTGAGTGCAGTGATGAGTGGTGCACAGCTATAATCTCAGCAGCTCAGGAGGCTAAGACAGGAGAATTGTGAGTTCAAAGCCAGCCTCAGCAACAGTGAGGCACTAAGCAACTCAGTGAGACCCTTTCTCTAAGTAAAATACAAAAAAGGGCTGGAGATGTGGCTCAGTGGCTGAGTGCCTCTGAGTACACCCCTGGGTACCTCCACCAAAAAGCGAACAGAGTTCCCAGGTTATAGCCATTTGTCAGGCACAGAAGGTTATCAGTCTAGAATGGGGCAGATCAGAAGGCTCCAGGAAAAATTTATTCAGGAAGATGAAACTGGGTGCCCAATGAAACCAACAATGTGTGCAATTTAGACAAATGGCAAAAGGTTTCATTAATTTAGAGGAAAGTTCATAGAAAAATGAAGCCTAGGGGGGGAAAAATTGATCAGTAGTCAATGAGCAATTCGTATAACAGAAAAACAATGAAGTAACAATACTATCATGCTATTTAGAAACACAAATAGCTAAAAAGGGATGAGTGTAGTTGTCTCAGGGGAGGATTATCCCCTTATTCCAACAAACCTGGAGGACTATTTGACTTAAGAATATGGCATTTTTCTCCTTTGGTGGTACTACATGCACTCAGCATCAAGCAGTACTATTGCTTTCACAAAGACTGCTTGGCAGTAGAACTTAACATTACTTTATCAGGATTAGCAAATTATCAAATTTAAGACAAAAAGAACAATGTAATTATTACAATGTTGTAATAATCTCACCAGTGATTGTTGTTTATCAGCAGAAAGTGGGATAAGAAAAATAAAAACCCAAATTTTCTTAATTGCTATGTTTATTAAAAATATAGACTAATAGTCCTGTGATTAAATGTCATTGTGGTTGGGTGCTGACTTCATAAGACATAATTGTAAGGGCCTCTTCACAAATATACTCTGGACAGAAGTAAAAATGTAAACAGAAATGACTGACAAGACATGCCATTTCAGACATAATCCCCTTATAATTAATGAAAGGGAGTTTGACACTATTTACATTCATACCAACATTCAGAGGCCAAGTATCACAAGCATAAGGTCACACTATAATTACAAGATGTCTTTTCATACTTTCCAAATTGTTGTATATTTTAGCTATGAAGGTCAGTATTCATAGCCCAACTTGTTCTTAACAAGTAGAATTTTTATGTCCATTCAATCAAAGAGTCTCTTACACCATTCTGGGCCCATTCATTTGCAGATAGGAGGAGAAACTGTAACCAGGTTCTTCATATCATGCATGTACTTGTGATGTCCAATCTTCATATGCTGTCCAATTTCTTTAAGATAAATGGAGCTTAAATAAAACAAAACACCCAAAATTAGTTTCCAGGTCTATCAGTCCCCAGGCTACATGTCAGAAAAGACTTGGGGGTGGAGATCCTTATAGGTTTAATTGAACATGTTTTTGAAAACAACTCCTAAATGATGGTAAGGCCTCTGCTTGTAAAAAACAAGCAAGAGATTCCCCACCTTCCAAAGCAGCTCATTTCAGTGCCATTCAACTATAATTACTATAAAGTTCATTGTTATTCTATTCAAAATTTTTCATCCAGGTAGTTCTCCCCCTTAGGGCCATAAAGATGTACTCTAGCTGTCTTTCAAATGACAATCCTTTACTTTAGTGATTTATTTTAACTGTAGAAGGAACTCTAAAGACTCATTTGATCCTGCCATCTTGATGGCTGCTCTTAGCTAGGGGACATCCTGCATTTAAGGCAGGAGAATGGTAGCTGCAAAGAAGACAAAGTTTCTGGAGTCAATCAACTCTAGACTCCGCTTGTTATGAAAAGTGGAAAGCATGTGCCAGGATACAAACAGACACTGAAGATGATCAGACAGGGCAAAGTGAAACTGGTCATCCTCCCCAACAACTGTCCAGCTTTGAAGAAATCTGAAACAGAGTTCTATGCCATGTTGGCCAAAACTGGTGTCTATCACTACATTGGCAATAATAAACTGGTGTCCATCACTACATTGGCAATAATATGTAATTGGGTACAGCGTGCAGAAAATACTACAGAGTATGCACACTGTCTATCACTGATCCAGTGATTCTGATATCATTAGAAGCATGCCAGAACAGACTGATGAAAAGTAAAACATACAAAATTTCTCTTAATAAAATTTGGCAGAGCTTGTAAAAAAAAAAAAAAAAAAAAGACTTTTACTTTGTTCTCTCTTAATGAACTATATATCACTTATGCCCTCCAGATCACAGCATCTTATTCAGTTACTATAAGGGTCTAACAAAATGCCATACACAGAACTATCTAGAAAATTAAATGTGATCATATAGATTTATTTATTTATTTATTTATTGAATTTTTAATATATATATATATATTTTTTTTTAGTTATCAGCGGACATAACATCTTTGTTTTGTATATGGTGCTGAGGATTGAACCCGGGCCGCATGCATGCCAGGCGAGCGCGCTACCGCTTGAGCCACATCCCCAGCCTGATCATATAGATTTAAAGAAGTGATATTATTGTCCTGTGTAAAAGTGCTGTGGTCACAAAAAAATAAAAAAATAAAAATAAAATAAACAGATGAACTTCTTTCTTAATATACACACTTAAAACATTTTATTAATGTGAAACTGAGCTATTGAGATCTGTTGGAAGTTGATAAAGTCAGTAGTACATCCAACCTTCTCTACTAATTCTTAATGGGGGGAAAAATCCACAAGAAATGATGAGTGGATAAACAAAACGCGGTATATCCATACAATGGGACCTTAATCATATATAAAAAAGGTTCTGTCACAAGCTGCAAGTTGGATGAACCTTGAAAACGTGCTAAGTGAAATAACAGACACAAAAGGTCACATATAATTCCTCTATATGAAATATCCATAAAAGGCAAATCCATACAGAAACTGCAAATAAGTGGTCACCAAGGACTGGAGAAAGGGGGAAATAGGGTTACAGATTATGGACATAGTATTTTTTTTTTTTTAGAAGAAAAGACAACGTTCTAAAATTGATTGTGATGATGACTGCACACTTCTGACTATGCTGAAAACCACTGAATTGTGCACTTTAAATATGGTTGTGTCATATACAAAATTATGTCTCAACCTAAAATGTGATAATAAGTAATTACAATTAAAGGCAAAAATCATTAAGAAGAAAATATTTTACTAGCAGCTAGATCAACAACAACAAGTTAGGAGGAAATAAGTACATTTGGGAGTTATAAAAAGTTCTCAAGGGGGCTAGGGTTGTATGTAGTTCAGTGGTAGAGTGCTTGCCTAGTACATGTGAGGCACTGGGTTTGATCCTCAACACCACATAAAAATTAATAAATAAAATAAAGGTATTGTGCCCACCTACAACTAAAATATATATATATATATATATATATATATATATATATATATATATATATATGTATGAATGAATGAAAGTTCTTGAATGAGCAGTATTATTTCCGTGTTTCTATTCCCCAAAGCTCCCTCTCCTGGGGAAGCAGAGCAATACAGGGAAAGAGTACCCAGTAAAAGAAACATCTGAATTGAGAGAGACCTCAGCCTCAGTGAGTTCAGACTAGGCCTATCAAAAGTCTTCTACAGCATGACCTTGGTATGGCCTTCAGTGATTTGACTTTCCCTGCCTCTCCATTCAGACCAGACAACAATATACAAATTTTATAACAATGAAAAGGATACTGTACTAAGAATGAAGTGACAGCGGCAAGTCATCTCTGAAACAACAATAAAATTAGAGAACTGCTCTATAAAGCTGCTTCCAGTTCTTATATTCAGTGTACTATAACCCTATGCTTTATGTTCCATTTTAAAATCGAGCAGTCACTTGCAAAAAGGATACAAAGAATCTTAGGCCCTACCCTCCTCAAAGAGTCACTGTCAAGACCGAATAATGGATGTAACTTTCTGCCAACTGTAAAGATCAAATATTTTTCTATTTCCACCAATCCTATAAACTCGTTTTCCTCTCATTCCTTCCCCCAGAAGCAATTATTTACTTCACCTTCTGTACAAATAAACAGCAAGGAAGCAAAACCTTTTGCATTTCAATGGTCGGCACTACAGGAGGAAAACCTGGCACGGAGTTAAGAGCTTCGGATTCTAGATCAAGCCCATTCACCGAATTGCTGGATGACCTTGGCCAGCCATTTCCCTACCTTTGGCACTGTTTCTTGGTCTCCAAAATGAGAGAACTGCTCTAGGATAAGCTTTGAAGCTCTTTGCACTCACTGTTGAGGTTGGGCGAGCTAGGATGAGCTAACCTCGTGCGCAGGGGCACCACCACGTGCGCTTCGGTGTCCCCAGTCAGACCCGCAGACTCTAGACTATCGTCGCCCTCGACGCGCACACCTCTTGCTCCCGTGACGGCTCAGCTCGGCTTAGCTCCCCAAGGCCTCACAACGGCCTGGGGAACTAGAGGTGGCTGGGCGGTGTCGGCAAGGTGGTCTTATGGTCACAGCCCGGGAGGACACTTACTGACTCTCAACAGGGCCACGTAGATAAGGAAGTTCCTTATGGAGGAGATCACGTCCTCACGCATCTTCCGCTTCATCTCCTCCGGGTCCAGCTTCGGCGCAAGGCCCTCGATCCGGAACATCGCCGCACTGCCTCACCAGCTTCCAGCCGCAGCCTTCAGTTCTCCGGTCCTCAGTAGCCGCCTTGCACCCGGAACTCGGCCTAACCCTACTTCCTGTTCCCGCCCCTCGTTTTCGCGCGAGGCGACGGGAGCCTGCGAGGAACAATCCTCATCCTAATCCTGTGGCTCTGAAGAAGGGCGGCCTGAAGGGGGCAGCAGCAATCTTAGCTACCAAGCCTCGGGCTCCTGAAAGCTGTTTCTTGAATATTCTCTGCCTTTAGCCAAAAAGTGCCACCCTGCAAAGAGGTTTCAAAGCCTCCCGGTAAGGGGCTATGCGCATAGGTTCTACCATAAATAATAGCTGACATTTATTGAATACTCAATTCGCTTCTCCCTGAATTACGTATTACAATCTTTACTTCCCAACACAAACGTGCTTTGAAATACCTCAGGTAAGGAAAAAAGTGTTGGGGAAGAGAGATGAAATATTAGCAAGTATTGAAAACTACTTAAGCTGGTGATTGGTATATTATTTTGGTTAATTATTCTAGTCTTTCAAACTTGAATGTTTGAAGTTTTCTGTGATTTAAAACAAAAAGGCAAAGCTGGTGAAACTTGCCAGAGACAGGGTTTTTAATATTTTCCATATTATTGCTGTATTCTCATTTCTGTAGTTACAAATTATTATACAGGCCTAGTAATAAACAGCCTGTGTAAACCAAGTTCAAAACTGATCAACATTTACATATTGGGAGAAGGCAGCTCAGAAACCAAATGCACTAAGTCATTATATTACTGTTATTGACACCTTAACCCAGGGACCCTGCCTGGATCCCAGCTGGCTGAATTCAGCGCTCCAATGCATAAGAAGTAGTTCAATTTTAAAACAGAGCCCTCCCAAACAAATCACCATAGGTCTCTACTCCTCTTAGTGTTTATTCCAAACAAATTGGCACTTGACAATCCCTATCAAACAAATAGTTCAAGAAAGAACTCCAAATTGATTTCAGAAAAATACCAAATTGTATAAAAAGCTCCAGAACAAACAGAACTCTCAATTCTTTCATAGAAATCCTGAGTGGGCTAGAAAACTCCAGAAGACAGGTAAGAAAGGATAAGGTTCAACATGCACTGCCAGTGAGTCTAGGGGACAGTCAAACTTTGGGCCCATAGATTACTAAAAATTTATTTTTCCGTTTTATTAAAGTGGCAAAGGGCAGTTGGCACTTGTTTGAAGGAAAAGAAGGAAAGTCCCAGGTGGCATTATAGACCCAGCATGTGGTGGCCCTTCTGTTACCTATGGCCTAAACCAGGGACCCTATCTGGATCCCAGCTGGCTGGATTTGGTTGCCTGCCCACATAAAAAATAGATAAAAGATAGAAAAACTGGTCAGTTCAATCAAATTGCATAAAGTTCACTATTCATTTTTCCACATTTTATCTATTTCTTAATCATCTGGAGGCTGAATCCAGCCAGTTGGGATCCAGGCAGGGTCCCTGGGCTAAGCTGTAGATAATATTGCTGAAGTGAAGGGGCAAGGTTCTACTGCAGATAATTACATTGTCAAGTTGAATTCTCTTTCCTCTGCACACTACTGATATACTGGTAGTTTTAACAGTTAGTACCTGCAAGTGTAGACATTCCTGGAGTCAGAAAATAGGAGTTCAAGTCAATCAGACTTTCTGTCACAAAATCATCAACACATTGTTAATAGGCTGTTACCTCAAGTTGTAAATACCAGCTAACTGTATATAATTTTCAGACATGAACCAGATGACTGCAAATTTACTCACAAAAGTGATTTATAGTTTCTTATTGACAGCACATTGCATTGCAACAGTGGAAAAAATATATATATATATTTATATATATTTAGTTGTAGGTGATACAATACCTTTATTTTATTTTTATATGGTGCTGGGGATCGAACCCAGTGCTTCACTCATGCTAGGTGAGCACTTTACCACTGAGCCACAACCCTAGTCCCAACAATGAATTTTTGATAAGTTAAAAACAATATAATTTATCAATTAACTGTGGCAACTAATAACTGTAAGCTTTGCCACCCACCTTCATGATTGACAGAATGAAAAACACTGGGTGAGAAAAAGAACTCATCTGCTTATCCAAACTTAAGTAAGCTTTTGCATCTATAATTCATGCAGTGGAATAGCACAGGCAGCTCTGGAATGGGAGAGGCTGACACCCAAGAAATAGCCTCCAGTCAGCCATTTGTGAATGTTTGGAAAATCTTTGATGATTCTGGGAAGCAACAGGGGCCACAGAAATAATCTGATCAGGAAAACCTTAGACATGGTCCTTAGATCTGACACCACCATTCACTGTCCATGTGAAAAGGAACAAGTCTCTGTTTCACTGCAACTTTACTTCTTTAGTTGTAAAGGGAAGACATAGGATTAAATGTTCCTGACAGTTCCTTCCAGTTCTAACAGTCTATGCATTTTGAATTCCAATCATGACATCTAGGACATAGTGATTGGGAGTATATGGATATCATCAATGTGGTCAGAGAGCAAAATAGCCAGTATGTACATTTGCCATTGTAGGAAGAATAAGGCACATCTGATCCATCCGAATGGTGAGGCAAAACAGATTGGGAAGGAAGAAGTTCTTATTCTGATGTTCTTATTATATGATTCTAACTTAGACCCTAATGCTGGTCTAATTTAAATAAACAATTCACCTATGGAACTGCCATATTATTTTCTTTACTGAGATGCTTTTGAGTAATTTGCCTGGATTTTTAGGGAGCCAAAGAAGGGAGAAACTACCCACAATCAGATTTCTTGTTCAAAGAACAGGTTTTTAAACTTTGAATTTTATTCAACTAATGCTAGGTTAAATAGGTACCAGTTACTTGGTAGATAATGTAGCAAACCGCTAGCCTGTTAAAAGGCAGAGTTATTCTTCTCACAACAATGTCTTAGAAAGGTCTGGTGCTTGCCTGCCTTTTGAGACAGAGGAGGGTAGTGGATAGAAATGTAGAGCAGCTGTATCTTAGAGTGAGAGACTGGTTCTGAATACAGTCTAGGAAGGTGAACTTTCTGTCTCAGATATGTTCATTCTGGTAAACTTGGCCTTCCCCCTTTGCATGCCCTTCTCTAGTTGTAATAAAGGAAATTCATTAAAAGAGGTTAGGATCCTTTTGTTGCCTTTAAAAAATGTACTTATTCACGTATTTGGCATATAGGTGGTGGTATTGACCAGTTACAGAGGGTTTAGGTGAGGCAAGTTGAGAAAACTTGCTTCAGGCAGTCAACATTGTGTTGAGCTGTTTCACATATTACACCCTTTTTTTTCATCATTGGGATGATGAAAAGTTTGGGCCTAAGCTTTAAAGTCACCTGAAGCTCTAAGATGCTTCACTTTTGCTCATTTTTCCTTTTCTGTGTACATAACCTTGAACTAAAGGCTAAGAACAACCGATGTACTTGGATTTGCCATGAAAGGCAAAAATAAAATATGCACACATAATTTAATATTGGTATTTATATTATTTGGTCTGATCACAGAGGAAATGGCAGCTGATGTCATAGCCTCTTTTGTTTTCCATTTAGATCCCAGGAGGGATTTTGGAGCCATTTCCTTTGCCTCAACTTCTCAGACAGTACTGCCTGCAAGCATTCAGAGTGTACAACCTCCCCATAAGAGAATTAAGTGCTTTAATTTCCTACACTGGGGAAGAATTTGTATTTGCAAGGTCAGACATTGATTTGTGACTCATGACTGAGGAATAAATCCAATATAAAATCACAGGAACCTTGTGTTTTCTGATTTATAGGGAGATATAGACTTTGGGTATTGAATAGTTTGACTCTCTGAAACTGAGGCCAGAAGGAAGGAAGCTAGTTAAAAACAGAGCTACTTGGAACTAGGGTAGGTCTCTGAGCTCCCTCTTTGATGCTTTTCACCATCATACCTTGCTATTTCTGATACTTTGTGAACATTCTCACTGAAAATTCTTCCTGCAAAAGTGAAGATGGGAAGAATGAGGTGCTGTTTGATCCCAGATTGGGAGAGCCAGGACAAACGATGGCTGCTGTTCACCCACAGGCTCAGGGAAGCCCTTCTTCCCACACTTCCACACCCACCACCACTCGTTAGTCTGGACTATGTTATTATCCAGCTCCACACCTCTCCTTCCTCATTCCTGCAGGGGAACATGGCCTGGAATTCCTCAAATAAACATGGCTTTGAGATCCACTCAGGACCCAAAGTGAATGACACAAAATCCAGGACAAGGAAAGTACCCTCAGATTCTCAATAAGAGCTGTTCTGTGGTAGATGATAACCAGAGTCCTCACCTAGCAGATAGGACCTCAGCAAGAAGTTTCTTCAGGAAGGGAGACTTTTGAACCTTAAAGAATGAGTAGAACTTTCATAACCTTCACCTCCCTGGCATTTGCTTCCTATAATATCCTTTTCTCTGTTCTAATTTTTAGTACTTTGTTGTCTAGATGACCTTTGAGCATGTGCTCTCCTTCCAAGTGAACTCAAGTACAAGGAACATATTATTGTTTATTATTGAATCCTCCAACAAACCGAGGATAGGTATTTATACATGATAAAAACTCACTAAGTGCCCTGAGTATAAGAAGGAATGAATTTCATTTACACTATTTAGAATTTTAAAATGAGTAGCTGTGTATATATTAGGTTGAAAGGAAATCATCCCCAAAAGAAATTAACCCAAAATTCTCTATAATATTTTAATTAATTAATTAATTAATTTGAGAGAGAGAGAGAGAGAGAGAGAATGAGAATCTTTTTTGTAGATGGACACACACAATGCCTTTATTTTTATGTGGTGCTGAGAATCAAACCCGGGTCCCGCGTGCGCTAGGCGAGAGCTCTACCGCTGAGCCACAATCCCAGCCCTCTATAATATTTTTATATAGCTATTTTATTTCTGACTATTTTGGTATAACTTGTTTTTGTTTGACTAAATAAAAGTTCTTTAAATAATTGTAGAATGTCATCTCAAAGTTAAAGAATGATCTTTAACATTTATTTTCCTTACTATTAGCAATATAATTATGTAAAATCCATATCATATTTTTAGTAATTTGCTTTTCCCACAAAAGTAAATGCTTATTATAATA